ACTGAAATAAAAAATACTAGAGAATGTTTGTTAAGAGCGCTTATCTGAATAGAGTGATGAATTTGTATATAATAAGTAGTTCGATCAATCCAAGTAAAGAGCAATGATAAAATATAAACATATAATAAATTTTATTAAACAACTCATCTACAGTAAATAATTTTGATTAAAATAAATTAAAAATTGGTTATGCAACTTTGTCAGCATAACTTCACTTCTTCACTTCACTTTGTCAGCCAGTGCTTACAACGTTCCCGATCCTATGCCCCAGTCATATCTTTGGCAGAAGAAAATCAGAGTCTAGAGCAGACTCCTTCCATATATTTGTACCATGTTAATCGTGTCCCTACCATGGGCCTTTTGCCGGTCAGCTTCTCCTAGTGGTGGTCACTTCGCCTTCCTTTCTGAAGGCATTCGCAACATATGATCAGACTATCGCAGCTATGACAACTATGGAAGGCTCTCCCGGATATTTGTATTCCGAATCACGTCGAGACGCGTAAGACCAGCGACTTGTCTCAAAAAACCCATTTCAGCCACGTGTACACCGGACAGAATCTTCTCAGTCATGGTCGTAGGTAAGAATGGGGATGAAAATCGACTTGAACACCGAGCGCTTAGTCTTCAAAACTCAGCCCTGTCTAAATCAAAATGGTTCAGGCTAATTCACACAGAACGCCGCTGGCAACTTTAATTTGTCGCTTGATCTCGATCTCTTCCTCAAATTTTTCATCACCAGTAAACTCGACTCTGAGGTAGCTGGAGTTCTCTATCTACTCCACTGCTCATCCGTCAATCTGAAGAGAACATCAGGCAGGAAAACAAGAAAGCACTAGGCTTTCTATTTTATGTACGTTCACACGCATTCAGGCCGAGTCGCTCTCGGCTGCGAAACATTCCAGAAAGCGCTGTAGATCAGCTTCAGAAGATGCCAACAAAACAAGGTCGTCTGTAAACAGTCACCCACAGTCAGTTCTCCTCCCGACAACTCCTATGCTGATACACTCATCGCCTTGGCTACACCTGACTATTCTATCCAAGTACAACACAAACAGGACAAGGGTTAGGACGAAGTCGTGGCGAAGACCAAAGCCAGCGCTGAAAGGTTTCAACTTAACACCATTTAGTCTGACAAAGAACTTGCTGTCAGCAAACAGTGACTGAACAGCCAGTAGCCACTGGCAATCGACCTCACATTTTCACAGGCACGCCCAGAGATTGGGGCGGTAGACCCCGTCAATGGCTTTCTCTATGTCACCAAAGCAGGTATAAATCCGAGGAGCAAACTCATAATCTCTCAACCATCCAGCATAAGGCACATATCTGCAAAATCAAATGCCTGAAACTAAACTGCTCTTACTGTATTTGGGAGTCGGTTATAACGCAGCACCCCCTTTCTAGCACCGCTGCGTAAACCACTTCCGATGGTCTCCCTTCGAGAACAGGGTTGCCACAATCAGACAAGACAGGCTTGGGTATGGATCTCGTTTTTCGACCCTGATACACCAGATAACGATGACAATAACTACACTAGTTCGCCAGCCATTGCAGTTTCACAGACACAGCATGCAAGCCAGCTTACGGCCCGTACGCCTAATGTTTTAAGCAATTCAGGGTGGATTTCATCGACTCCAAAAGTCTTTCCATTTTTCAAACTTTTACCAGATTGTGTCATTCCATTTAGAGAAAGACTAATATCCGCTTCGTTTGGCTCTTCAGGTAGTCTTCCTGTGGTTCTTTAACGTTAAGCAGTTCCTTAATATATTCTCTAAGTCGCCAAAGAATCTCCTCCTAGTCGGTAAGAGGGTGCCCAGATATATCCTTCTTTTCACCTCAGAGCCGGCGAATGGACTGGGAGAACACATTGTTTGCCTTGTCTGTGTGGAAATTCGACTCCAACACCTCACCCAGGAATCAGCTTTTGAATTCGCCACTGCTTTCGCTGCTGCCTTACGTGCTTCTACGTATTGCACACGAGTGGAAGGCATTCGTGCTGCTTTCTTCTCTTTATCTGCCAGTTGTACCTCTGCTGTCCACCAGGAAGATCATTTCTGACCTCCAGGCGGCAGGCCCACCCGTTTCAATCCGCAGGATTCGACGACAGCTTCGAGCAGGCTGCTCTTAAAGAGCTCCTAGTTGGTTTCCACACCAGTGGTCATCACCGGGATATGTTCAAATCGTCGTGCAATGTTGTTTGCAAATTTCGCTCTCATGCCCGCCGAAGACAGTGTTTCCCATTTGATTCTCCGGTTGCTTCTGCCACCAGATCTTCCCATGGTTCTCCATTTCTTACAGCGCAGCGTGCCAAGAACAAGGTTGTGATGGGTTGATAAATCTGCGCCTATCTTAACGCAAAATCCATTACAAAGCGTCTTAAGTCAGACGATACGTGTATCAAATCGATAATCGATTTCTGTGCAGAAGCTTCCCGATACCAGGTGTACTGATGCACTTTTCGATGCTCTAAGAAAGTGTTCATAATAGACAATGCGTTGTTTGCACAAAACCGCAACAACTTCATGCCGTTATTGTTGAGGTCGCTAGGGTCATTTTTCCCAATCACGCCGTTCCACTTCTCAGCGTCTCTGTCATGCGCATTAAAATCAGCCATGAGAATGAGGGACTCCGTACTCAGCACTATGGACAGAGCACACTGCACTTCCTCAATGAAGATATCATATTCTCCCTCTAAATTTGGCCCATAGACCTGTACCAAGATCATGGCTTTAGCCTGTTATAGCTTCAGTCAGAGGATTACCACCCTTCCGCTCTCAGGCTTCCAATCAATGATTCTATTAGCGAGGTTGGGTTCTACTAGAACACCAACACCGATCTGAGCGCGCAATGGTGATTTCGACACCTGAATAGAATAGCTTGCATCCGTAGAGGTTCTGGATTTAAGAACCTTAGCCCTTCGCTGACCAGAGTCCAACAGTGTCGAGTAGGTACCTTGCGGCCTCGTCAACTAATTCCTGCTTTTTCTCTCTGAGTGAAAATACGTTCCAATCTCTGGTTGTAATGTCCCACTGGCGGTGTCGTACGCCTATGTATCCGTACAGTACTATGTGACATGCTAAAACGGCATCGCGCTGTCCGCCTCCTCCGTTCAGAATGGGAAGTGGCTTCGTTGCTAATCCGAATCTTCGTCGACGCTTAACCATTTAATCAGTGATAAATAGTAGCTCTTCCATCTGCCATAGTCACCACCACCCAGAGGCTTTTGGATCAACTGCTGGATAAAGGCTTCTCGAAGACTTGGCATCAATCACCGTGTTCTGCGAATTTTAACCATTTTGATCCAGCAAAATTTTTCAACTGATCCGGCCATGTTCTCCTAAAGGTCGCTTATTCTCTCTTGTAACCACGTCTATGGTTTCTCTGGTTCTAGCGAATGTCGGCTCTTAATGCAACGTGTCCAGGCAATTGCAACCTAAATTTTTTGTGACCAATGAAATCACAGACTCATTTATGTCTTTTTCCCTACTCATTTTCCTTATCATCTTTTCGTGTTATCTCCAACAATGTGCGTTGCGTAGTCGGCAGTTTTTAAATAGCTTTTGTACAAGTTTCCTATCCACAGGATAGACCTGGCAGGACCCATAATT